ACTCAGCTAAATTTGCAAGGTACATGTTTATACTAGAAAATTATTCACTGTTTACCTGAAATTCAGATGTAATGGGATGTCCTATATTTTCTATTCGGGTGAGTGTCTCTATAAATACCCCCGCTCTGATAGGACATATCAAGTAAAGAGCTGGGAATTCAAATTCAACGATGCCGAGAAAAAAGAGAAAAATTACTTCCAGTGAATTACAAAAAAGAAAGGCTTAAAATTAATGGATTATATGAATATTAAGTCTTACAGTACATTAAACCATAAAGCTGGTTGGTAGATGACACTAAATTAACTTTATACTGCTCACCATTTCCTGTGGCACAGAATTGAAGAACCAAAGCATACCTGGTACAATACTTTACATATGATGTATATTTAATAAATATCTCTTCATTGATGATCCAGATGACAGGCCAAGCCTGCTCATTTTACATTTAAAAGATCTGAATAGTTTGAACACTGGCAGGAAAACAGCTGGCTTGCTGAGTAAATAATTAAAGTATTTAAAGTCAAAGTATTCTATAAAGAAAATAATTTGCACCAAGAAAACTACCGTGGGGTTCATTAACCTATGTAATATATTTTTTATTCATCAAGCCTCTGTCCTTGACAAATGCTTACTGGACATCCCAAGAAACGATGGATTTTTTTTTTTTTAAAAAGGAGTTTTAACAAGTGGGCTTCGTCAGAAGTAAAAATTACTGAGCTAGCCAAGGAAAAAAATTCTAAATAAATTACTTTTCTAAAATCTGTCCACCTCTTTTATCAAATCAAACATATCCCATCATGTTTGTTTTTTAAACAGTAATTTTCCAGTTGGCCTGGCTTATCATTAAATGTTTCTGAAAATCATTTAGCATATAGTTTACTTTTTAACACTTGTACTACTTTATTCATCTTACTGGTTTCGAAATAAAGTCATCATCTAGACTATATAGACATTAAAACTAATTTGCAAACAACAAATAATAAAAATGGTTTAGTACAGTAGCCCTCGCCCTTTACACCCCCACCTCCAGTTTATCACAAGGAAAGAGAGTCCGATTAGTTATACTTCTCCCTGGAAGCAGGTTCCTCAGAGGAGAATGATGAGTAGCTACAAAGTACACTTCCTCCCACCCCTCCTTGTCCACAACTCAGTATACTAGTAAGATTTGCTAATTTGTAAGGCTATGTAAAATCTTTGGCTGAAGCTTCAATTCTGTGAACAGTAGAATTACTACCCTAGTATGGCGGGAAAGGGTCAAAATGCCACCTACTGCATTTCTACTGACACAAACATTTATGTCACCAGTAAAGAAGCCCATTACTGCTCTCACACTGATACCTTATTTTGGCAATGTTGAACCAAGAACAATTAAACTTGCAGGAAATGTGGGTTTTTTTTAATGTTTTCAAGACTCACTCTGATAATTTTAGGCAAATGAAGGAAAAGCAGAGAAAAGACAATGCAAACAGAGGAAAGAAAAAAAATACAGTTGTTAAGTGAATTAAGTGGCAGTATGCTGGAGTCCTTCAACTGAAGACTGTGAAATATGACAAAATTAGAAACTCAAGGTTATTATACACTGTTGGTATGGACATCCTATACCCCCAAAGAGCTTGTTTTAAATAATGTTAAATTCAATAAAGCCCTGCTTTCAAAGTGCAAGAGCTGAAATTCCTTAATGGGGAAAAAGAGCAGGAAATCCTTTATTAATTCAGTGGGAAATACCTACTGGCAATCAAGGAGTCATTTTTGGGTTCCCCGCTCTTTATCTCAATGGTGCTAAGATTTCAAGGAAGTAATTTGTGAACAGCACCACGGCCCAGTGAGCAATTGCAAAATTCAGGTGTTACAGTATGATGAATTAGTTACTCCTTTTCACTTTTCAAAACATCTTAAGATTTTTGTAAAGCAACTAATGTCAACAATTCAAGCAGATTTAAGAAGCAATCTATAAGGCTATGAAGTGACTGTGTGAGACTGTGTGTGTATGAATAAATATATAATAACTCATGAAATCCTACATCTTATGAAGAAACTGAAGATGCTGATAACAAAGAAGATATAGTAAGACATTAATTCAAAAGAGGCCAACAAATTTCTAAAAATTCATCTTTTTGTACAGAACCCCTGATTTTGGCATTTAGTTATTTTTAACGGCAAATATTAACTTTTTATGGTACAATTACACGTGGAGTGTGTTCAGTGCTGATGAAATGATTCCATGAGATGTATTTTGGTAGTCTTACTGCTTGCTGTTCCATCTACTTTCACAGAAAAATCACACGGTAGAAAAAACAAGTCACTTTCTCCTTGTCCCACACATAGGATACTGTACTGAGTAAGGCAGCCAGGAAGACTGCTGTATCTCACCTCTGAGCAGAAATAACTGGAGACACAATTTCAGGGTTTTCTGTGCAGGGGGAGAGAGTGAAGCAATTAGTTGAAAAGCTAAGGGCAAAAAGAGTGTGTGCTCTCATCCCACTGCCAACTCAAAAGCTAGGAGCCAGACCCTCACTGTCATATTTGTCCTACTGAATGGGGGAAGAGTGAGATCTGTATATCGGTGTGTACATATTTTGAGTTGTATACAGATATGTCGCTCTTGTGGGGGAAAAAAGGTCAAGGTGATAGTAGTGGTGAGGAAAAGTTAGATCTGAGAAACTTCGCAATTAATATACCAGAAACACAGAATTTCTAATGACACAGTAGGAAAGGCCGAGTCTGATGTAACAGAAATACCTTATTCAAGTTTAGGGGAAAACCACATCCCTCAGAAAATCTTAGAAACAACCAGTGGCCGGGGATAATTTATGTTGTTCAAGAAGGAAGAAATATTGCTTTTTCCCCCCATTACACTACTAATGTAATATGCACGTGGAAGTTAGACAGATAAAATAAACTGGTGACACAGTAAACTTTTATACTCACAAGGCTACCACAGTAGACAGATGATGGTAACACAAGATGGCTTTGGAAAAAATGAGAGGGAATGAATGAAAAGTCCTTTGTTTAGTGACTGGATCCGCCCCACCCCCCTTATTGCTCATGTGTTGTCCAGTTTGTTGTTTTTAACATGTGTAATTTATTTTAAAGACTTCATATAGTTTATCGTCAATGCTCACAATAATCTTACAAGGTAGATGTCATTAACCCTCTATTACAGATAAGAAAGCTCAGATGCAGAGGTGCTGAGCGACATGTCATCAAAGTTGTAGAGCCAGAATTTGACCCCGTACTGCCTCCAGGATCCTTGATGGGCTTGGGACATAAGTTATTATCTGGCAGAGCCAATACTTACTGAGGGAAAGAAGGATACTTGGGAAGTGTTATAAACTGAATTGTGTTCCCCCCCCCCCCGGATCCGTTGAAGCCTTCATCGCCAGTCCTTCAGAATGTGACTGTATTTGGAGAGAGGGCCTTTCAAGAGGTGATTAAATTAAAATGAGGCCCTTAGGGTGGCCCCTCATCCGATCTGACTGGTGTCCTTATAAGAAGAGGAATCTGGGTGCACAGAGACACCAGGGGTGTGCCTCACAGAGCAAAGATCATGTGAGGACACAGCGAGAGGGCAGCCATCTGCAAGCCAGTAAGACAGGCCTCAGAATGAAACCACCCTGATATGGGACTTCTGGCCCTTCAGAACCATGAGAAAATAAATTTCTGATGTTTAAGCCGCCCAGTCGGTGGCATTTTGTTATGGCAGCCCTAGCAAACTAATGTAGGAAGGGAGAAAAAATCATCGAACGTAGTCACTTGCATAGACCACAAAAGCAACAGCAGCTCAAGTGTTGTTCAAAACTGGACTGAGAGTTGTTACAGATTTTGGCCTTGTTAATAAAGCAGGAACAAGTTCCATCCCTGGAGGCACTGGAGGATTGTGGCTCTGTGTGCCAGGCACACGCCTTCCAGTGTGCTCCCCCCATACTACTCGATATACCCCTTCTCTCTCCCTCACAGAAACAGGGCTGAAATGGCCCCATAACACCAACATACACACCCCAACAAGCAAGATACATGATAAATTAAATGCATCTCAAGGCATGGTCTGGTGTCGTTCCCTCAGATCTTGCTAGAATAACATGGCATTTAAAAAAATACAACCCACTGGATATTTGGCACTGCTTGGGAATGAAGAATATGTCCACTTAAGAGCCACTCCCCCAGGCTGTCAATAAAATCTCAAGCCAGGATTTCTTCTATAAACATTACCTATCTTTTAAAATTATACAGTCTAGGAAGTGTAGAAAACTAATGTAAAGTCCCTGCTTATTTGCAAGTCTCCTTTCGCCTCAACGTAAAAAACATAAACCAGACAGAAGAACACGTTAAATGCTCGGTCAAAGCCCACGGATGGGACAGCTCTGTGCAGCTGGCAAAGAGCCTCCACCCTTCCCGCCTCGGCCCCCGGTCACCCTCGCCCCGAACACACACCTATGCAGAGCTCACCCTCCACCAGGGCCAGCCTCCTCCAATCCCCGGGCACGCTGAAAGACGGTATTTACGGATTATTTTTTTTCAGATACCAGCCAAATAATGTTCCCGTTCACTCTCTCACCCACCTTAGACCATACAAAATTTAACATCTGGGAGGATAAACTCTGCCCCGAACACAGATGACAAGGCTGAGCAGTCATGGAGGAGTTCTCCTCAAGCAAAGAGGACTTGCCAGCTTCCCTCTGAGGTCCAGGCCCTGAAAGGCCAACTGTGGTATGTTTGAGTTTCCATCGGGCCTGGTGCTTGCTGGCTGCTGCTATGTTCACTCAGAACCCAACTGTCCTATAAACATCTCGCCCTGCTGCTGAGAGCTGCCCGCCTGGCCTTACTTCTTGGAGCCGAGAATATGCAATTTGGGAGCTGCAGGCTGCAGGGGAACTAACACTGGAGCACAGCTGACCCCTCTCTTCTCTAAGGCCAGTGACAGCTCTAAAAAAAAAAAAAAATTAAGGCACGCTCACACGAACGTAACAAGAACGGGAAGAAAAGTCCAGATTTTCCTCACCATGTGCCACCCAGCCATGTTTACACTGATCGCAAGTCCTCAGGCTAATCTTCCCCGGCTGGAAACATTCACACGTGCAGTTCACCAGTGTGCAGCGGATGGCCTGCAAAGGAGAGGAGGAAAAAAGATCAGCATCTGTTCAAAGGTACCATATTTCTTCACCATTTTAATAATAACACCCACTTCCCATTTTTAACGGCTTTAGGGGCCTGGAGAGTTTTAAAAATAAATTTTGAACCCATCAAAATCTCTTACCAAAACATATTAGAAAACAACACTGATTCACTAGTAGAATGTTTCATGCCATTCACAGGTGAGCTTTAAATTAGAAGCATGTACCGAGTAGTATAAGAGTAAAGGATTACATACTCTACAAGATGCTGGATCTGAAACACCAGGGACCCGACAGAGAAAAAAATATTGCTGCTACCAAATAGGCACATTTAAGTTCATCCACCTGGCAACAGTGCAAAAAATATACACTCTCATACAATAATGTTCAAACGAAATGTTGTTCCAAGTGAAACATGATATACAAGTAATATTATTAGAATATTACTTTTCTTCTGCAGTGTTTCATTTAAATGTTTTATTAATCTTTCAGACACATTTTGAGAGACATTCCTGTTGGCCCAATAAGACCTGGCATATTTCTGGCATCATTTGTCACTTCCCAATTCCTTGTTTGTTTCCCCCTTGATATATCAAGTCCATTTTCATTCGTATTTTGAAAAATGCAAAACAACCCCCATTTTTTTTTAATGATGATGTAAGAGATTAGGTTTACATTTGTTTTTAGATCAGATGTAGAACAGGAAAAGACATTTATGTGAACATTTGATACTTGGAACAACTCACCTATATCTTAGAAAGCTGAAAGACACACTCAAAAACCTTTCATTTCTTTACAAGCACTTTAAAAAATCATCTCCCCGGTTTACATTATAAAGCGAATCCACAGAAAATTAGCATTAATGAAGTGTAACTTTTGATAGATTAAGAACCTATGCTTAAGAACGGTGCTAAAGCCAACCTATGCTCCTAGACTATAGTTAATAAATTTATCTCATACATTTAGTTCTAACTTGCATGGCAGTTCTGAAGACAGAAAGGATTCAGTCAGATCATTCAGATTAACCATCTACTGTAACTACCTGAACTGCCAGGAAAAGACCCCTCTACAGCTGTAGATGCAATCAATAATTACTGATTTGGGGGGTGGGGTGGGGGAGAGGTACAGGGCTACCTGAAACTGCAGTGCTGGGCCTGAAAGCTACTCTCACTTACACAGCTCCAGACGTTCATGTTCCTGGAACCAGCTGGATTTTTATATAAACTGTCTCATTTGTAACAGACAGTATTTTAGACATTGTTAACGTGGTTGGGACAAACTCCATTTACAGAGAGTAAGACTGAATGGGCTTTGACTGCTCCCCATGCTTTAGATCAGGCGAGTTTAAAATATTTCTCTTTTGTTAATGAACATCAAATCTATAGGTCCCTGTTCAGTTTCCAATAGAGTCCTTGCCTAGACTCCTCTCTTGCTTCACCTCCAACCCTAGTTTGCTCCTCTATTACTGCAAGAAAAACACTCAGGTGTATCATCTGCCTGATATTTCAGGGCCTTTCTTCCAATGTCAATAGTCCAATTACATATTTGGAGGTTGTAAAACTTTGCTGTATGTATTAGTGATGAGAGGAAATAGTAGTAAGAAATAGGGGCAGCAAAGGAGATGCTGACTACGCAAGAATAATATATGTAGTTGAAGGTTAGAAGGGGAAATGTTTCTCCCCAAATTTCTTGTGTCAACTTCAATAGTTTAACTGACTGAGCAATACGTCAGAACATTCCAGGTTAGAAAGAGCTTCTTTAAATGGCGTGTTCATTAATGAACTCACAATTTGATTGTACTATGGTAACACAAAACAAAACAACAACAGTTTAGAGGGCAGTGTTTCTACTAAAAACAAGGCACCTTACAAACTATCCAATTATAAATTCAGATGCAGCAACCACATTGACATTAAAATATTTATATAATCTGGAGTGCAATAACAGAATCTTTCATAAACACTAAGGAAGAAAAAGTCGCCTCTGCTTTACCAAACCAAGGAATGATCAAAACTAACAATGACTATCTCTCAAGGACTACATGTTAACTCCAGCACAAAAAACATACATATTTTAAATCACTGATTGGATCATTTTGATTTGACAGTTATTTAACAAAAATAGCCTCACTTCACATTGTGTTTAAAACATACTTTCGTCGATTTTAATTATAGCTATATTCAGGACAAAACAAATTAAGAGACTGTAGATTTGCTTTATTTTATGTATATTTATTTATTTACCGATTGAACTATTCATTTACTGAGAACTAGTTTATGATTCAAGTATTTTTCTCTTCCTAAATAACTTTATACATCTGGCACATTTGGGAATTAAACTTTTCAGATCATCATCCTTTTCCTTTTTCATAATTTTACCCTTTTTGTACCTAAACATACAAACATTGGAACACCTCAGCTCCTTTTGTATATAAACACTTGAGCATTGGAATATCCATTTTGTATTTCTATGACTTCCAGAAGGTCTATTTGTTTTCAATTCAGATTTATATAGACTACAATTGTTCCTTAAGGGAATTATATATATTTAAACAATATGGTCTAAATAAATATTTTGAGTATGAGACTATTGTGGCTTCAAAAGAAGTTTTATTCTAAGTAACATTTTTGAAACGGCATAAAAGTTTGACATACTATTTATTCACAACAAAACAGAACCAATGTGATCACTTGCCAACTCACCCACACTTCAAAAAAATAAATTATCATAAAACTATCAAAACCAGTTAAGCCTCAAAAACGTACACACTTTACAAGGAGAGAGCTGGAAAGAGCAGAGATGGTGAAGCTTTCATTTTGGTGAGCACATCCATTTCTTCACGTAGCTAGTATATGAGTGCTTCCCACCCACTGCCGGGCATTCATGACTACAGAAAATTCAGCGGTGATAATGAGGTGACAGAAAGGGGACAGCAGGAAAAGAGCAGACAATTTGATCAGGATATTCCCACCTATAGATGCAGGACCCTTATGCAGGTCTGGCCAACTCAGGCTAGCAACCCCTCCACACCTCCAGGACCCCACTTCAGCGAGTGCCTGAAACTCTTTCCTCCATTTCAGTAGGATAAGCTTTTCCAACACCCCAAGAGCAAGAACAAATTTTCTTAAGCCTGCAACTTATTTAAAGTAATGATCCCTCTGCTTAGCTTTGCCATAGATTTCTTTAAAGAAAAATCCATGCGCCCACCACCCATTGCTTCCACCTACATTTTAACTGTGCAATCTGGATTCTGCCCCACACAGTCCTGAAACTGCTGTCTCCAAGAGGAATGTTCTCATCACCATCTGGTGCCCTTTTCTAGCCTCCTTGTTCTCCTAGACCCCGAGGCAACTTAAGGCCCTAACTCTCCTTCATTCCTGGGCTGTAGAGACCAACTATCCTAGTTTATTGGCAGCAGCTTCTCACTCTCTCCACTGTAAATAAATACAGGTGTTTCCCAGGGCCGGGCTCTTCGGTCTTTAATTTGGCAATTTCATCCCCTCCTACAGCTTCAAATATCATCACTATGCAAAGCCCATCACTGTGGAGCCAAGTACTGTGTTAAGTGGCAGAAACGGATGGCAGAGTCCCTGTGCTCAAGGATTTGACAGTCAGAGCTCATGGGCAGTGGGTTCAGAGGAGAGACCCTAAGAACAGAAGGAAGCCCTTGAACAGGTTTGGGAAGCACCATTTCTCCCTCTTTATGCCTTGGCCTTTTCTTCTACCAAAGGTAGGATTTAAAAATTTATCTACAACAGTAAACTATTACCTATTATCAATAATAGCTAGATTTACTGGATATTTGCCATTTTCCAGATACTGTGCTTAACACTTTATAAACATTAGTTCTCCCTCAGAAAATACCACGAGGTCAGTACTATTATTCCCTTTATTTCACAAAGGAGGAAACTGAGATAGAGCTAATTCAGGACCTTGCCCTGAAGTCACAGGAATCTGATTCCAGGTCTGTCTGTGTGAGCTCTCCACCCACTCGCAGGCAGCCATGGGGCAGAGCCCCTCCGTCTGCCCACCACCC